CATTCAATCTGATTAGGTCATGAAGAGAAAACAATAGTCATAGGGACAAACTCATGCATGAGCTCCCGCAATCGGTGGGTGGACTCCCCACAAAGTCTTGATGCGGACCTACAGGTTGCAATCTTGCCTGCCGCCTTCCCGTCGTAACCAGCAGACTAGACTTAGACTTAGAAAGATAGAAAGAGAAAAGTGTGAGACTCTCAGATCCAAGAGTGGTGCCCTCAATCTCACGTGAGAGGGCCTCGTTGTCTTCAATCGCCTGAGGGTCCCGCATTGGTGACCGACTGACAGCTTGGTCAGCGAAGTCAAACTGCCGACGTAGCCCCTCGTGACGAGCCCTCAATCCGCAGCAATGACCCCCTTCACCACCACGGTCTGACTGCTCCTCTACGCCCCAACATCTTTCCTTGGCCAATCCCCGATGCCAATCTCAACACGCCGCCGTGCTATACTTCCGTAACTTACAGGCATCAGCATCACGGTACCCTGCTGGAGCAACTAGTATGAAGTGGCTAAGCCGTTAAGGATACTGCAGCACACCAAATTGTAATAAACAAAGTGACTGCATCCGCAGAAGGCCAGCTGAAGCCGGACTCGGACAACCGAGCACAGCAACGGACCATCCAGGCTAACACAACGGCCAGGATGCCCAGCTACTGGGCAGTAGTGGGAGCCACAACTGTGCACAACGCAGCGAGCATGCGACAGTTCACACAGCCGCACCTGCAAGGTACATCCACGTCAAAAGTACCCAGGCTCCTAGTCACGGTAACAACCCCTCCCGCTTCCCCGCAAGAAGCTTGTGTTTAAGCTGAGCGTCTGGCAGAAAGGGCGCTGCACCTGTGACAAACACGCAGTACGCCTATTACAACATGGCATCGTGCAGCAGACGGCAGTTTGCACGGTCTTTGCAGCAGCAACCCGATAAGTCGTAGTTCATCCAACAGTAGCTCAGCAAGGCAGAGTCCCTTTGGCCACGTATCTGACCACCTACATGGCTGGGTGCGTTCTACGGGACGACTGATGGCAAGTGCTCGGGCATGCTCCCGCCCGATATAGATCAAAATCTGGGTCATTCACAGTTCGCCCGCTGTTACTAATAGAATCCTCGTTGGTCTCTCCTCTGATGATACACACCGGCCAACGAGTAAGACTCCAACCCGCCAGCCCGCTTCACACTTCTTTCACTACTGAGATGGACAAAATTGAATGAATCTTCCACTACAAGGTGGAAAGATACATCGTCGATTCCCAAACCCATGCCTGCTGTTTTCATCGACCAGCTGAGCAACGCATCGGCCAACAGGTAAGTATCCGACCCTGCAGCTGGCCTCCCGCTACTTACATCGATAGGCCATACATAACTCAAAATGAATCTTCCGCTAGAATACGGAAAGATACACTCCTCCGTAATCGAGCCTCCCTCCTGGGCGCGGGCTTTCACGTCACCCTTGGCCAAACCACAAACCCATCGGCAAAACTATCGATGGCATCATGTTCGCACCGCCCTCAAACCCCATAAACGAGCCCTAGTTCGCTCGATGTCGTTGAAGATCGGGTGAGTTACTCATTTCTTCCTCCTCGTTCCCGCCATCTCCTCGGCTCTGCGGAAGCTCTTCTCTATTAACCTCTGAAATCACTAACTTATAGCTAAAACTAACTTCAGATCTCGGTTCGCCTCGCGTCAAAAGAACCCCCGAATCGATTCCTCCCCCACCGAAACCTGTCCGCTAACGAGTATACAACGCCTTTTTCTTCTCTTCTGCCATAGCTCGGCGCAAGTCACTCCCTTCGTAGCTCCTAATACACTAACCTACCACTAAATTTGACCCCGCCGTCGAATTCGCCCTATGCAAAAACTTCAAACTCGACTTTCTCCATGCCCGTTCTTATCAAGGACCGGGCAGGATCTTCCGTCTTTTCACTCGGCCATAGTTAGTTTCACGAAGCCCCCACGCACCAACGTCCTTTCCTACCTCTTATTCTACTCCCTCTCTCCCAATTCCGATCGCAGAATCGAGGTCGCGAGCACCAAAACCCCCGATTTAGCACTTTTCCCCGGCCGATTCTATCAAGAATCGAGCGAGGTAAGTGCTTCTCCCCCCCGCCATGTTATTTTTCCTTCATCTCCGACTGCACCTAATGTAAGCCCGCGTCCCGGTTCGTCCATTCTTTTTCACTGCCCGTTGCGCCTATCCGCCCGCTGCCTCCTCCGGCCTAACAGCGCCCGCACAGCCCGTTGCCTGCTGCCTTCGCAGCGCTGCGCCTGGCCCCACTGTGCTACCGCCCGTCACACACCCGCTGCTCCGCTTGCCCCGTAGTGGCTTGTCATGGCCAGCGCAACGCTCGATAGCGCAGTAGCCCGGTCTTAGCTCGCGCTCCTGCTTTTGCCACCCCACCGACCTCGCCCTTTCGTCACTGCGCGGTCCGACACCACCCAAATACCGAGAGAAGCAATCGACTGTCGGACCTCGCCAATTTATGCATATTATTCTTGCGCAGGGGTCGTGCTAAGCTTCTCTGTATCGTTCCAACTTTTAACGGATGTCCCGAAGGACACAGCCTGGGCCGCGGGGTCCAATCCGCCCCGCTGTCGGTTGCTCCCCCTTCACGGTCTTAGCGCCCGCTTCCACTGCACTACTACTCCGCTCGCCGTTGCTCAGCGTTGTATTCCAATAGCAGTATCTGGCACAGATCAGTGCCAGATCCATTCCCCAAGTTATGCGCCTCACCCTTGCGCAGGGGCCATGCTAATCTTCTTTGTATTGTTCCAATTTTAACGGATGTCCCGAAGGACTACCACCTACAGCACCCTGCGGCTCTACAAAGTAGCCCGGGGTAATTCAGAGATGTCGTTTTCACTCATCTGGCTCCGTCAACTGGACTTTGACACAGGCCTGTATCACAACAGCTCACGAGTATACCCACCGAACTAGGGTCCTGGGTCCCGCACCACCCGCTGTGCCGCGCCCCTGGCAAAACGTGGCGTGGTTAAGGGTAGCGCAGGCAGCCACCAACACAACCTGCAATTGCACTTCAGGCAACTTCGGGGATACAACTCACTCCACGCGACCCTATATCAACCCCGGTATCGCGCCCCGAAGCGGGACGCGAGTAAAAAGATGAAAGCTAAAACAAAAATGACAAGAGGTATATAAAAAAATTTAATAAAGAAAACAAAACGGGAAAAGGGAGGTTCTCGTAGATCGGGTCCGCCGTCGCACCCGCCAACAAAACCGAGGGGGATAGCCCTTTCGAGCCCTCAACCCTTCAGGTTTCGCTCCATCCTGCTTCGCTGCTGCTGCGTCGACGCCCGCTGGCCACGATCCCCGAACCTCCCGAATAGTAGTCCAACGTCGTAACCTATAGGGCTAAGCCCAAGCCTGCAACAGCTACACCCGAGACTCCATATAGGATGATACGGCGCGGCCGTTCAGGGCCGCAAAAGCGCCCAGCGCCATTCCTCAGCCGATGTCTACGTGCACGGCCACCGAGAGTCCGCGCTGACCTATCACAGTCACACCGTCGCCGTCGTTGCTGATGCCGTCGTCGAGGTCGGTCTCCGCTCGTGCGCTCGACTCGGTCAGGCGTAACCATCGAACGAAAATATCCCCTAGATCCTAGTTTAATAAAGAATAACCAGAAATAAAACCTTAACGATAAAAAATAAAAATAAACAGACCGGCATCTGCGCCGGTTTTCGTAATCAACATCAAGGGGTGAATCATGCACGCCTTAAACCTGCGCGCTCACGCACTCTTTACTTTAGTCAACCATCCTGTCAACGCAAATTACAGACACGGCTGCGCCTAGCGCGGTATACTTAAACTTTAACCCAGACTATTTTTCCGTCACTTGCAAAAACCCAGGGCGGATATTCTTGTAAGGGTATTCACACCGACAACGTTTTCACATTCATTCAAGGAATTTGGTGAATTAGGAATCCAAGAAAATCGGATTTCCAAGGAGGGCTAACGAGGCCCTATGAGTCTAGGCATAGGGTTAGGAATCTACTCTGGCCCACGGTATTCCAAAGGCAGCAATTGCCATAGATGGCTATGACGAGAGTAGAGTTACGCTCCTCTGCAGAGTTACCGAGAATCAAGACCGCCGACATCAGCACCATAATTGCACAGCGGGTCAAAACAGGCGATGCCCGCCTTGCTGTTCCTGGTAGGGTTCCCCGTAGCTAGCGCAGCACATAGCGACTCTGCTTCTGCGCCCCATTCGTGCCTGTTTCAGGTTTGTCAGGTTTCAGGCTCTAAGTCGCATTATTTCTGCCGAACTTGGCCTCATTTGACATCTCATACACGCAGAAGCGTGCTATGCTTAGTTCCTAGGGTCCCAATGAAGGCAGTCCAGGGGCTAGGTCCCACTTGCGCAAATTAGGAGTTTCCGGCCGTTGATCTTCGCTATCTACGGTCAATATGTCTTAATTTGTGCAAGTGGGACCTTGCCCCAGGTATGTGGGAAACTGCCCCACCAAGCGGGTTGTCCGACCTTTCGCTGGATGCCATCCTTCGCGGGGTTTGTGGCACGGTCTTGCCACGGCTGTTTATGGGATTCGGCACCATATCTTAGGGCACAACCTTCGAGTAGAACTCGATTGTACCCGATCGGCGTGCAGGTAGTATCACCCTCCATTGTCCACGTTCTCTTCACCTCATCCGCTGTTCTCACGGTCAACGAGTAGCGTCACCCAGCCCTAGCAGCACTGAGTGCCAGCCCTTCGATATTTCCATCTTGCTCATTTCTCGTGACCATTACGTCCCAAATGAAATAGAAATAGCCGCCCTTTTCCCAAAAAAAAAAAAAAAAAAAAGGAAATAGCCTCCGTTCTCGTGGTGAACGAGGTCGCCTCCCTTGCCGGACCTCGGATTTCGCGAGGCGTATTGAATAGCCTGCCAAGTTTCAATTAGGGAAGCACAGCGGAGCCGTGAGATCTCCTCTGCAGCCGCCTGACCCATTCTTGTCTATAGAGTAGTTTCGTCCATTCGCGGGGGTGGAGGGTGGAGTTCGCTTCTTGCGCGTTTTCCTTGCCCGGCGTACAGCGTGCTGGGATCGTTTTGTGTGCTCGTGGCTGCAAACGGAGGCAAGCCGTCTAGGAAAGATGTGGGGTGGCGATGACCTGTATGCCATGTCTTGAGTTGCTCGAGGATCGCCCGAGGATCGCCCGAGGATAGTTAATTTCCCTGTGCGCGTTCGTTGTCCCCTTCGGCGGCATTGGCATTTTCAGGTAATCAGGTTCCCCGGGGTGCAGCAGCGCGAGCCATCGGCCTCGCTTGGTCGACGTGGAGGGGCGGAATGACGGGGAGCCATCGCGTGTCCCGCCGCGCGTGAGCGGAGAGAGCGAGAAGGGATGAGAAGGATTCACGCAGCCGAGGAAGGGGTGGGTGGGTTCAGGTAGTCTCCCTTGTCTTCTCCTGGCAAAGCCGCTCGCCATTTGCTGAGACGGCAAGGGGGGGAGAAGAAGGATGAAGCGGCCAATCGTGTCTCGTGTGGTGAATTTCGTCGGGGGTGATCGGGGTAAGGCATCATGGACGACAATTTTTGCAACGGCGGCGCTTTGCGCGTTCTTCTTCTATGTTGGCAGCGAGTATTGTAGCAGTAGCGATGGCGGGTACTACGTACCTCATGACGGGGAGGGGACAAACGTGGCGCTGCAGCCTTGCGCCGCGAATCTGCACGATCACACGCCCTGCATGGATCCGAACACGTGGTTCAAGAGGAACTTCCAGCGCGACAGAATGGCCTTCCGCGAGCGCCATTGCCCGCCAGAGCACGAGCGCCTTCGGTGCTTGATTCCCCCTCCGCCGGGCTACAAGGTGCCAATCCGTTGGCCGGACAGTTTACTGGAGTGCTGGTACAAGAACGTTCCATACGACTGGATTGGCAACGTGAAGAAGAACCAGAATTGGTTGCGTAAGGAGGGAGAGAAGTTCCATTTCCCCGGAGGAGGTACCATGTTCCCCAAAGGCGCCGACGAGTACATCGATCGCTTGGAGAAGATTTTGCCGGCGCTCGGGGATGGGTCAATCCGCACGGTGCTAGACACCGGTTGTGGGGTTGCGAGCTTCGGTGGGTATCTCCTGCAGCGAAAGGTGCTAACCCTATCGCTGGCCCCGCGCGACGTGCACGCAGCGCAAGTGCAATTCGCATTGGAGAGGGGTATCCCTGCGATCTTGGGCGTCATCGGAACGCAGCGGATGCCGTTCCCGGCGAGGGCCTTCGACATGGCTCATTGTGCTCGCTGCCTGATCCCTTGGGCAGCATATGGTGGCGCCATGCTGCTGGAGGTCGATAGAGTCCTTCGCCCCGGCGGGTTCTGGGTATTGTCGGGACCTCCGATCAACTACGAGCACATGTGGAGGAGTTGGAACTCCACCTTCGAGGACGAAAAGAGAGTTGAGGATGGCCTAAGGTCGTTGCTTGACAGGATGGGTTATAAATTGTATCAAAAGGAGGGAGACTTCGCCGTGTGGCGGAAGCCGCTGGACAACAAGGAGCATAAGGCGAGGGATCCGGATACGCTGCCAGCTGTCTGCGATGATGCGTACGGGGCGGACGAGGCCTGGTACACGCCGATGAGGCCGTGCATCACGCCTCTGCCGGAGGAGAAGGGTTTGATGACCAAGCCCGCCGGAGGTGAGCTGAAGGATTGGCCGGAGCGTGTGAAGGCTGTTCCGCCTCGTCTCGAGGAGGAAATGACTCCTGCTGATTTCGAGAATCATAACGAGGAGTGGAGGAAGCGCGTGGCGTTCTATAAGGACGGCCCGGTACCGGAGCTGGGAACGAACCGAATCCGCAACGTCATGGACATGAACGCACAGTACGGTGGTTTCGCCGCCGCCCTGGAGACGCTCTATGGAGCCAGCGCGTGGGTGATGAACGTTGTTCCGCCCAGCGGCACCAAAAATACGCTGGGCGCGATCTTCGAGCGGGGGCTTATCGGTGCATATCACGATTGGTGCGAGGCGTTCGATACCTATCCTCGGACGTACGACGTGCTACACGTGTCGGAACTATTCTCGGAACAATATCAAAAGTTCCACTCCAAGTGCGATGTCATCGACGTTCTGATCGAGATGGACCGCGTCTTGCGACCGTCAGGGATAGTCATTTTCCATGACAAGAAGCCGATTCTCTCTGCCATAGAGCCGTTGTTGCCGGGACTCAAATGGGACTGCAAACGACACTCAGTGCACGATTACCAAGCGAGCAAATCAAGTATGCTCGTTGTCTGCAGAAAGGAGTTCTGGGCGCTGGATGTTTTAAGGAAAACGTAGGCTATATATCACTAGTAGTAACGGGACTGCGTAGGCTGTAATGGTGAGGAACGGTGGGCGGGGGACGATGATAAAGTCGTCTGCGAGAGCTTTGGTTGTTGGGTTTTGTCCAGCAGAGTAGTGAAGTCTCGCACGCACTTGCACGCGTGCACGGTAGTAGCCGTAGTGAAGTACGCTGTAGGATAGCCGAGTTTGGGTGGGCAATTCTCGAATGGGGCGTGTTGCCGATTGTAAAGATGAGTTGCTGTATTAGATATACGTGAAGCATGCGCTGGATTGAGCGGAACATCAGTCTTCAAATTCAGTTTTTGGGACGTATACACGGCGGCTTGCCGGCTTGAATGTCAACTCCCTCCCGCGCTTCTCATCTGATCTTGTGCCACCTTCGTTAGTTAGTCGATCCCAGACGTTGTTGTTCGCTGATCGAAGTTGGGGCTTCCGGTTCTCGCGCTGCTGGCGCTTGCCTCTGTTCTGATGAACGAGTGCCGCAGTCGCGTTTTTTCTAAGTTCCCTGTTTTGCCCGCCAAGTCGGTGAGGGTCCCCTTTGACTTCTGTGCAGAGTGCGATGTTTGTGGCCAAGCTTTTTGCATGTCGTAAACGGTTCGCTGAAGCCCAAGGCGGCAGGGCAGCAGTTCCTTCCTTTCCTTTTCACACCGGGAAGGAGGAGGAAGTATTGCTGGCAACGCTGTCGTCGAGCGGATGGAGTAAAGGGATAGCGTAAGTAGATGACAGCAAGAAGATAGTGGGAGGAGTAAGTATTGCTGGCAACGCTGTCGTCGAGCGGATGGAGTAAAGGATAGCGTAAGTGGATGACAGCAAGAAGATAGTGGGAGGAGATAATTTCTTCTATGGTTTGTAATTGTTCGTGGAAACAATTCATCCAGCCACTTAGTATTTACGTTGTTCCTGCGTTCATCGCGAAAGCGCTGTGGGTATGGTGCAACCTCTTCTTTTGCGCTTGCTTCTGTCAGTTCGGTTGATTTTCTTTTTCCTGTATGTGTTTGCCCGAGCCCTGTTGTCGCAACAATATGGCTTTCAGGTGTACCCCTTTTGTCTTCCCTTGCGAAGCGTGGGACTTCATTCGCTGGCTGAGGAAAGGAGTGGTTTTTGGACTTGTTCAACAAACCTTGATTTCGACGAAGCAAGTGTTAGCCTCGTCGTAGAACGGGTGTCGATTCTGGAAGGGGGCGAGGAACAAGTCTATCCTTCTTTATGGGATTCCGACGAACGGTCTCTGATCCCTGCCTTCGCCGAGGATCCGCATGTTCCGCATGATCTATGCTGTCGTCGGAGGTCTGGAAAGTTGTAGCACCCCGTCGTTGAATCTGGGAGGAGGTAATGCACAAACTGTGCATGAAGTCAAATCAATCGCCGTAGAGTGCTGGTGATCACCACGGTGGAAGTGTTCTTTGTGAGTAATTGTTTTTCTTTTCGTTTCGGTTTTGTTAGACTGTTCTCTTGAGTGAAATGGGGGCGGTTGATAGAAGGCGGAGAATAAGTGGGGCTAACGTGTTATCGGTACACCTATATGCGGCTGCAGGGCATGTGGAGGGTCCATGCGCGTGTGTTGGTTGGGTGTGATAGCAAGATGTCAGCCCGAGGCCTTGCACCCACAGTAGGTTTTTCCAAGCTCCACAAGTACTCACGGTAGACGGAGGTTGGATGGTGAGTGCTCTTTTGTCCATTTGACAGTTTGAAAAACGTGTGCACGCGCGGTCGTTATCTGAGCGTGCGTGTGTTGTCATGTTCCATATACACAACTCCAGAAAAGAAGCACGACTGCGCCGGAGTGTTTCGTCGGACTTTCACCGACTTATCAGGAGGTTGAACCCGACAGTTTGCCCAGGGTGCATTTAACTAATGGACAAGACCTCGCCACGTCGCCCAGAGCTAGCGTTACCCCTGAGAAAAATGATCGACTCTGTGTGTGCTCTGTGTGTGTGTGTGTGTGTGTGTGTGTGTGTGTGTGGGAGGATGAGGAGAAGAGAATTGGTGCTGATGATTCTTTAGCAGCGAGAGCAAGTAGTGCTTGGTCAACGTCCACTGTCGCTGAACAGCGGCAGCAGGGACGTTTATTGGTGACAGCTTCGAAGTTTCTCCTTTTTATGTTTCGTTTGCGGTACCTGTTCATTTCATGACAGCGTCGTCAAATTGCGCGGGGTTTGTGGTTCAAAATCTTTGTCAACGTATTTTCTTGGCTGTGGAGAACGTCGCGTTCTTCTTCAGTGAGGTTGGATTCCTGAATGCTTCCACTTTCTGTCCGTGGACCCCAAGAAGGAGATTTAATACCGTCCACTTGTAATGCTGATCTATTGAAAATTTCCGTACGTTGTTTGGCTCGTAGGGTATGCACTTGGACTTGATGCTACGAGAAAACCTTTTTTTTTTTTTTTCTGTCTGGTTTTCCCTTTTGCGTTCTCGCTCTTTGTCACTGTATCCACTGTTGAAGGTGGTGACGATGTGTTTTCAGGCAGGCGCCGTTTCCCTACGGCGGCTTTGCGACAATGTTTGTCACGTCTCTCTGAGTCTTGTGCGTCTACCATTGTTAAAGATTTCTTGCATAACGTACGGCATGATAAGGATCAGATCCCTTATACACGGGTGATTTTCGAATCCGTGTGCTTGTTTTATGAATGGATGTCGTGGCTGCTTCGCACCTGTGCAAGGGCTATAAGTGTGGTGATGGTCTGTTAGTATTGCTTGAATTGTGATTGAGATGTGTTTTTTTTTTTTTTGTCTAGGGTTGAAGCTCCTTGAATACGGTCTTTTTTTTTTCCCTTTTTTTTGTGTGTCGCGGTGACGGCTTTGGCTGAGTAACGTTTCAAAAGCGGCGATGATGATTGCTTGTTTCCTATGTTGTGATGGGTACTCTCTTGTGGATTGTTTTGCTCTGCCAATTGGAACCTGATTTAACTTGGTACGTGCCGAAAGGCTCGTCCGGCGGGCTTGAAGGCGGAGGAGGAAGGGAGGAGTTGCTTCCTGATGGGGGCTTTGGAGGGGAGTTGCTTCCTGATGGGGGCTTTGGAGGGGTAGTATCTGGTCCCGGTAAGTGAAGGTGCTGGACAGCCTGAGGTCCTGTGTGCGTTCTCGAGCCTCTACTGGATTGATAGGTAGGCATTGATTCTTTGCTTTGCGAGCTCGCCGAGCTCGCCGAACGCTCAGAACGTAGACAGTGAAGAAGGATCGTTGGGCAGTGATATGATGGGTCAGGACTCAGGGGCATAACAAGCCTGTCGGGTGGGGCGTGTGCTCGTTGTTGGGTTCTACTGGATGTGGGGTGATCTTAGGCATGCAGAGATTCAGAGATGAAGAAGAGCATCCTGCGAGTTTCTTTATGTCACATTTTATGAATTTTACTCGACGGTTTGTGTGGGGCACGAGGATGTACGGTGCTTCCCCCCCCGCGCCCCCTTCTGTTTTCCTCTCCCTTCCTCGTTGTTTAAAAGGAAAACGGCCGTGTGATGTCAGCGTATAACTGACAGGGCCTAGGTAATTCAGAAACATGGTGTTTTGTTGCTGTTCATCATATTCTGACTGCAACTGGATTCGAACTGTGATCTGTATATTAACAGTTCATGGGTGTTCCAAGAGGTCGTACGGTTATGGTTTGTTTTCTGAGGACCGTTTTGTCGTTAGGCTCAGAGTTGTATGTCCGTTTTCTGAGACTTGCAGTCAAAACCCCCCAAAAGAAATGTCGTGCAGTCCGATGTACCGCGTCTTGAAGTTCCTTCTTTTGTACCCCTCAAATTGTACCCCCTCAAATTGTGCAGAAGTATGGAAGGAAGGTAACCTCTGCTCGTATGACGACCGGAATGAGGCGGCGAATTACGTAGGGGATGGAACTAACCGGCGAGCCTAGCTTAGTTGAGTACAGTTATAAACTGTTGAAATATGAATCAGACCCAAGTTCGAATCCAGATGCAATCAGATGACCGGAATAAAATACTTGTGAACTACCTGGGAGCTGTCAGTTCAACGATGACATCTCAAAGCCGTCGTTCTTTTTTTTAATTAAAGAAAACAAAAAAAAATTACGTACGGTATAACACTTGCTACCGTGAATGCACTTTGACGTCGGCTGAGCCTGAGTACGTTAATCGGTTGATTGCTCTCGGCTTTTCTCTCCTGGTAATCTGTGAGAGGTACATTCAAAATGTCCGATCAGTCCTAAGAATCTGGTCTACTTCCTAGTTAAGGTACCCTTAGAATGTAGAATGTTGAGTAGGGGAGTGAGGCCTGATACATGCACATTGTTACAGAGAACTATCTGGTGAACTGTAGCCAGGAGGGGAGGAAAGGGGACATGAAACGGGCGGCTTTGACAGAGACTGGTTCGTTAGACTCCGTTTTTACCAGACTTGTCAGGAGGCTGCTCACCTTTGACGAGCTCAGTGAGTCCTCTAACAGATGATACTGTGCGATAATAATCCCACTTGCAGGTGGACTCCAACGACTGGCCCACAACTGATACCCTGGCAGTTGCGCACTAGTTATTGCCCTCCAGGTTACCTATGATGAACATTGTGTTGTGGCACTTGCGAATCCTTTATGTTTGGTACCCTATTATGTGGAAACGTTGCCAAAATCAAATCTTTCACCAGATCTGTGTTGCTACGTCTCTGTTTGATGAGTACCATCCAGCGGTGAGAACTTGCTCCGTGGGCGTCGCCGCACCACTTCCTAATCCTGAGAAGAGCCAAGGGTCGCTACACCAGCTCGCGAGTTTGAGGTGTTAGACATCTGGGAATTGTCAGGAGTAGGGCTTGGAGAGCCGCCGGGTATCAGCTTTGCTGAAGCACCTGCTTGCAAAGCCACCAGTTTTGGAGATCTGTGAGGCATTCCGCCCGAAATTTCAGCAGCTGGACAAGCGGTCGGATGCCAGATTTCCTCACGCCGCATTATTGTGTAGTGCCCTCTCTCCTCCCACTGGACTATAGTCTAGTGCCCTCTCTCCTTGCACTGCACTGTTCTGTAGTGCCCTGTTGAACCTCTGAAATTCTAGAGGGCATGGTGGCAAAGGGAACTCTTGAAATTGGAAATCTGATGCTCGGGAGGTTGGAGCTGGCGGCGATACCTGAAATCAGTGAAATGAACTTTACCAATTTTGAAGCTGCCCTAAGACCGACCTCAACAGTCCAGATTGTTGGAGATGGGAAATGGGTGAGTTTGTTTGGTACCCGTTACGTTCGTGATGACCCTGGCCTAACGTTTTTGACGACACAATAAAAGAAGACGGGACTATCCTTTATGCAACTGGATCCACCAACACCTTTCATGAGCCTGCCCTAACTTTTTCGACCAGAAACTGGAGGAGAAAATAGGTTCTGATGGGGGTCATATGTGCAGCCTCAGGTGAATGAATGAGCTTGATTTCAGCGCGTCTTCCAATGCGAATGAAAAACATCGAGTTTGGTCCACTGGCACAATGATGATCGGAAATATGCTACACACCTAGCACTGTCAAATATCAGATTTCCTGGAGGGCATAGCGCTGGCAGTGCCATGGAGAGCCATTTGCATGTACAGGGCATTCGCCCAAAGAGCAGAATGTGTGTGTTTTAAATTCCCACCACGACAGGCCCTATTCCACCCAGATGAGTAGATTCCAGTTGAGACAACCCAGCAATTTAAACCACCACCAGTACTTGGCCCAGCCATCGGCCGCGGAAAAAAAATAGAGTAGAAACGTTTCTAGTTGGATGAATTTGGGCGCTCCTGTAGTGGCCCGTACGTTTCCTAAAATCGTGGCGCGGTAACGGGCACGACTTTAGGAAGTACTGGTGGTTTAACCGTTTAAGCAATTTCACCTCTTTAGCAGGCAACATGAGTCATAATAGAACCATTTAGAACTGCGTTTAGCTGGCGCGGGCAACAGCTCCTCTTTTACTATACTTCGCATGTACAAGGCTGCCCACATTGATTGTGATGAGTGGCAGCTGCCTACATCCTCAGGAGAATGTGTGTGTGTGTGTGTGTGTGTGTGTGTGTGTGTGCGTGTGTGTGTGTGCGCGCACGCATGCGTATGCGCGTGTGTGCGCACGTCACGGCGCACACA